AGGTATTGGCAGGGCATAATGGTCATGCTAAGTAAGAGAAAGACAAACAGAATTATTTTTTATTACTACTGACTCAGTAGCCATTAGGCTGAAATAGGCAAGCAAACAGAATATAACAAAAAGTTCCAGCAAGAAACAGGAATAATTGAAACATTGAATTAGAAAAGACAATGGAATAGGCCTATTATACAAAAGTACAGTTACCATCTCCCAATATCACCAAAATGTATTTTGATCTTTTTTGCACCTCTCCAAGAAATCTTTTTTTTTTTTTTATATATATATATATATATAATTTTTTTTTTATTATTAATTACACACTCCAGAGCTTGAATATAAAAAAATAAAAGATTTTTTTTTTTTTCTAAATTTTACGGACAGGGTGTTCAATTTGCTATCTAGATTCTTTGTAAATTGTACCCCTCCCCACACAAGTCAAAAATAAAGATAAGAGAATAATTAATAATAAAAGCAAAAAGTTAAGTAAAAACATTCCTTGCTTTCATATTTCATGACTTTTGAAATTAATTGAAATTTTTGGATGTAAGCATTATTTTTACATACATACCTCCACTTTTTCACTGAAAAACAACATAGCATGATGAAAAATGCCCCAAACTTAATAAAAACAGTTTTATCGTCAAAAAGTTTATTATTAAGAGAAAAAACCAAAGTATTTTTTTATTTTATTAAATTTTTTAATCCTATCTAGTTCATTTTTTTTCTGAAAAAAGCACATTGATTTGGAAACCCTTCAAAAACCAAATAATTGTCAGATTTTAATGATTCTTTCAAGACTTATGCACAAATGAATGAAATTATTTTGGAAATTTTTTATTTTTTTTAAGAAAATCTTGGTGAAAAATTTTTTTTTACATTTGTTACCACACACACACACACACACACACACACTTAATTTCATGTAATTTTGAGAAATTAAATTCTCTTGCCAATACTTTTTTTATTAGTTAAAAGTAGGGCTCTTTGGAGAATATAAATCATCCATTTTCTTCTTTTTTTTTTTCCAAACTACTGCTCTTTTGCTGAAAATCTGCTTCAAATTGTAAAATAAAAAATGCAATACAACTATCTAATTATTTAATTAGAAAAGCTTTTAATTGCTTTTATAAATAAGATTTATTTAGGATACTATTGTCTTAAAAAGATTTTTTTTCAATGGATAATTAATTTTTACCAGAATTGTTTACATTTTTAAAAAAATCTTTTAATTATAATAATTTATGATAATTTAAATCATTTAAAATTTTGCACTACTTCCTTCTGGTTCAATGATATTGTAATTAAGTGGAAACTATTTACAAATCAAAAATTGAAAAGCTTAATATAAGTCATTTTGCACCAAGATTTTAAAAATAATTTTTAATTTTTTTTTATGTATATAAAATATGACATAACTTGTCCCTGTTTGGCAGTATGGTCGACCATACACAACATAATCAGAAAATAAAAGCAATGACTGTAGTAAAGTCAACATACCTAAAATTAGATTAGACAATATTTTCAAACATTTTTAAGATTACTGAGCACTTAAAGATTAAATAAAAAAGCACTCACCTGTCATTTTTCTTAATTATGTTTTACAGATAAAGTCACCGTAGAACAACAATAAATACATCAGCACCTTATCTATGCCTGCTAAGTGATCCATGAGTGACAAGCGCATAATCTCTGCTACTGTTTGTTTTAAAAATCCATTTCTCTGTTATTTTAAACTTATAGTAAATAATTTTTTTTTTCAAATCAGGTTAATTATACTTTAAATCTGCTAATATTCCTCAAATAAAGTTTCAGAAAATTATTTGAATATTTTTAAAACCAAGAAATAACTTTTGTTTACAAATGTGTCAAAAATGACTGAATTTAAACGATTTCTAAAAGCAAACAAAAAGTGGAGGTTCCAATCAATATAATTTCTATTTGAAATACACCAGACTATTTAGCTTACCGGAAATAGTAAATTTAATCATTTAGCTTTGAATAACAGCTAGAAACAAAGCTTCAAGAGTGCTTTTTCATTTTTAAAAATCCATTTTAAACCAAGATATCAAAAATTCAGTGGAGGTCCTATTTTTACACAATACAGGAAAGAATGCCGGCAAGAATAGGCTTTAAATAGTATAAATATTAACATTTTTTTATTTTAAGATGAAATTATTTGAAATTTTGTAAGTAGTACATAGCATATTGAGTAGGGGTGTGGAGTGGGTAGCCTTAGTCAAATGCAAAATAAGTAACAAAATTGTCCAACAAACAGAATTAAGTTTGCAATAATAAGAAAAAGAACAGGGCAAAAAAGTAATATAAAGCAAGCAAACAATATATACAAAGCAAATTAACAGTAATAAGGCAAAGCAACAGTAATAAAGCAAAACGTTCACAAAACTAAGAACTGGAGTTTGCACACAAGAGCAAGTTCAGATAAGTGAATGTAACATTGTGACTTCAAGGCGAGACAGTCAGATGAAACTGACAAGTAGCCTATCTTATTGGCAGGGAAAAAAATCCCAGCATGCATTTGTGTGCTTCCGCCTATAAAAGGGTAGGGGAAAGTGTTTTGCATTCATTCCCACCAAGATTAAGGGGGTCAAATTACAATAAGTTTACATGACAAACTGAAAACCTTCTCTTAATTAGTAGGAATTTTTTTTAAAAATTGCTTTACTAAAAATTACAAAAGACAGGAAATTGTGGAGAGCCATGATCACTGACATCCTGAAGAGACATGGCATATAGAAGAAGATACTCAAAATGATATCAGAAAGGGTAATACAAGTACAGGACGATGTATACCTATGTTTTATAGATTATGTCAAGGTTTTTGGTTAAGTACAAAAAGAATTGTTTGAACTGCTAGGTAAACTTGATTTATTTGGGAAATATATTAGAATAATCCAGAATTTATATAGGAGCAAACTTCCTGCATACAGATAGAAAATGAATTCAGTAAATACACAAAAATAAAAACAGAATTATTCAACTGTTACAGCAAGCAATCCTGAAAGAGCTAGAAGTTCTACCATGATTTATTAAAGGCAGACATAATTTTAACATTAGATATGCAGATGACATAGTGTTGATAGATAACAGAAAGGAAACTGTGGTAACTCCTACAGAAGTTAGTAAAGGAAAGCAAGAAGAAAGGACTAAACATCAATTGTAAGACAGAATATCTGGTTGTCAGCAAGAGGGGCAGCCCAAGATGGGAACTGCAAATTGGCAAAGCCAAAATCAAGCAGCAGGTAAAAAATTTAAATAACTGGGAAGATTTTTTAAAGAATAACAGATAATGTGAGCCCAATCATGGTTCTACAGAAGAATGCTGAGAATTCCATAGACTGGATATGTGAATGACAAGAAAGTTTTATGGAGACAAAAAGAACAGTTATGCTCAGAATCAGAAAGGCTTTGGCGAATTTGATACTCACAGGCCACAAAAAAAGCGGCAAATAACCTCCCTAACGAACTTGTGTAAATGGATGGTAGAACAGTGATTGAGAGCGATAGTGAAAAGGGAAACATTACCAAAAGCTACAAGGGATAGGAAGGTGTGAAGAGCCACGATCACACCTATCCTAAAGGGACATGTCATATAGAATATAAATGAATAAAGTTTACTATAATATCATCACTTTCATGGCTTGAAGTTAATGATGATTCATTGTAGTGGTTTAACGGAGGATGGAAAGTGCAACACTGAAATCCAGAGGTGCATTGGGATAGCCTAAGATTTCTTCCAAAAGCTAAAAATTTAATTTCATGAGAAACAAAGAAAAGATTACTGAACTGTTATGTAATATCAGTCATCCTATATATCAGTGAATGCTGGACAATTTCTTCACAGATGAAGAGACTTGTTGTAGCAACAGAAATGTGGTTCTACAGAAGGATGCTGAGAATGCCATGGACCGAACATGTGAGCAACAACAATGTTTTAGAGAAAATGGAAACAAAAAGATATTTATACTTAACATCAGAAAGAGACAATTTCTAGGGTACATAATGAAGAAAGAGGACTTGGAAAATTTGATACTCACAGGACAGATTAAAGGCAAGAGGGGCAGAAGAAAATAACACATGACCTACCTAGCAAGCTTGAGTGATTGGTTGGCAAAATAGGGTTGAGGAAGACAAAATTTATTAAGAGCTATGAAAGACAGTATATTGTGAGGGCCAGTTTCTAGATTGAGGTCAGTATGTGACTTCAAGGCAACTGTGTTACCCTCCCAACCAAATTTTATATCTTTGTTTGTTGATTTGAACCTCAATGTTGTTTTATTTTTTATTTTTTTTTAAATAAAGATCTGTTATATAGGAATAAAGTATCACTGCAGCTACTTGAGTTTGAACATCGATCGCCAGTAAGTAAACATATGCGATCCTATTATTGAATTAAGTGGATCATATAACCATAGAGGAAACATATATAGGAAGTCACATGATGTTTAAAGGATCTGCATTTAAGGTCTATCCTCTATTACTATTTGGATCACCATTTCTACTCTATATTATTTCACTATACGGGCCTCTATTCTCTACTCTATTCACTATACTATTTATCTATTCAGATCACTATATGGTGGTTACTTTCCAAGCGAGTATTATCAAGCAAGTACTATTAGTGAAAGTGATATTCAAAGGTGTCTGACACCAGCATTGTTCAATGGCATACTATAGTTGTATCTGCAATTACAAAGCCTCTACTACAGCGGGCATTACGAAAGTCACAAGTATTCGTTGATATTACAAAAGTATCAAATGAGTGTTTGTCGATATCACAAAAAAATCATATTTTCTACTGTTTTTTTTTTTTATTATTATTCTAAATAGATTTCTGATATTTTAATGCTGCAATTTTTAAAATTTTAATTTATTCATTGTTTTTTTTGTTTTTTTTTCCTCTTTCTTTTCCAGATTATGCCGGTCATGCTCATGAATACGTCCAAAGCCTCGATCTTTCTCGATGGTATGGGATTGTAGTGATGTCAGGAGATGGGCTTGTATTTGAGGTGAGGCAATACCTGACTCTGATCACTGATTTCACATTGAATGAACTTAGGTTGCCAAATGTTTTATGTCTGAATAAAATCGATTTTTATATTGACAGCTTGATCTCATCATTTTACTATTGTAATTGCAACAAGAATTTCTATTCTAATAGTGTCTTCTCTCACACTTCTTGCCTGTGATACATTGATACTCGTAATTCTAAATCACTAACATGGTGGGGGTGAATTAGAACATCTTTAAAAATGGGTTTCAACATCAGTTGGGAAGTGAAAACAATTTGTGCAGTGGCAGAAAAATAATAAAGTTGCACATCAATGATAATCGCAAACAGACGGGATACTTTTCTGGACCATGCAATTTGGTTTTATTAAATTGTAGTTTTAACACAAATGCAAGATTGTACAATATTCAGAGGGTTCAGCAATGAATACTGAATGTTTCCACATAGTGGTAATGGTAATATTAGCCATTTTCTTATAAAAAGAACACTTATGCTCAGAATTAGAAAAAGACAGTTGAAATTTCCAGAACACATAATGATGAAAGAAGGTTTGGAGAATTTGACACTCAGATGATATAATGAACACAAGAGAGAGAAAAATGGCAAATAATCTGCCTAACCTAAAATGAGACCTAGTTTCCAATCTCGTAGTATGCTTAAATTTATGTGTTCAAGGCACTAAAGAGGAAAGCTCATTAACAATTGCCATGAAAATATTTATAGAAAAGACAAGCGAAGAAATGTCACAGCAGTGGGGAAAGTGACTGAAGTCAAGATGCCAGGTCAGGACCGATTATGTTACAGATCCTTCTTTGAATTTTGTCAAGAATCTCAAGATATATAGCAGTAGCACCAGACTAGAGATGGCAGCAATATTCAATGTATGGATGAATGGTAGATTTCTAAATGGGCAAGATGGAAACTGTTGAGAAATATTGTTTAACGTGAAACAGTGATCCAACTTTCCTAGCAGCAGATCTAGCAATTGATTCAATCCATCACTCCACTTCACATCAGACCAAGGCACAATGAGTTGCGCTCCTGGAGTGTTGAGGCCTTGTTAGGGCCAGAAATAAAGACACAAAAAGAGGAATTGGGTTAAATAAATATATTAACAGAAACAGTAATACAAACATGTACAAACGAGAGTGTTACAGCAAGAATGTTCGATCTGACTGCCAAAGCTGACTGCTGGAAACTTCCCTCTCCAAAAGGCAATACCTGCTCCTATTTATAGCTGAGAGAGTCCATGAGTGCATGGGTAAATTAACATAACATGGAGGTTAGCATCAGCCATATTAATGGAAGGCAGAAAGAGTTCTCTAAGGGGATTAATTGAGAGTAGTATTGTTTTAGCGGCATTAAATTTTACAAGCCATTCCTTACCCTGATTATCAAGTAAAATGTGTCACAGAACTACAAAGCCACATAAGAATAGCTAAAGAAGTCCTTCAGAAACTAAGTAAAGTATTAAGAGATAAGTAAAAGTACAGAGAAACAAATATTATAGTGCTGAATTGCCATTTAATATCCAATTTCCTATATAGCTGTGGATGCTGGACAATCACACAGATGAAGAGACTTGAAGTGATAGAAATATGGTTTTACTGAAGAATATTTGAAGACAAGGACAGAAGATGTGAGCAGTAAGCTTTGAACATCTTTTGGTTCACACTAGACCTCAAGTGGATCAGATATATGATCAATTTCAAAAAAAAAAAATTACTGATAAAATGGTTAGTTCCCTGTATTGCTCCAGAAAGTTCCTGTCTCCTCCTGCTATGCCCTATCTTTACAAGAGCCAGATCAGACCAAAAGTTCCCCTGCTGTATCCAGTCTGGAGCTATCCACTTCTCACTTTCCAGCCTTGATAAGCTTTTTGATTGATGAATTATATTCTGTTCTACAACCCCTTTCCCACAAACACAAAAGACATCACAAGATTCTTGCTACTCTATCACTATTTCAATAGCAAATATTCAAACAAGATATATATTTCTTAGTTCTTCCAGTTCTGAGCTCTACAGATAAGACCTGCCATGTCCTGTACACTGGGACGAATCACCCCCCCATTCCTTTTGTATGTCATTAGTAAGACAGAAGTCCCATTTGTACAGCTCTTTCCCAAGAACTACTACTTTGTAAAATTGATTCCCGAGTAGATGCATCCCTGATCGCTATAATCTTATCCTCTTCAGGTCTAGGGTCAACTATTATCTTTCCTACATATCCTCATAATATGCACTTCTTACCTTCTCATCTTACATTTTTACATCAACAATCTTATTCCATAACCATCTTCCTTGAGTGGCTCTTGGGCCTCGTATTGGGTAAACAATCAATAAAAAGAAAGTCTTGAGAAAAATAAGAACAAGAGAACTTATATTTACAATCAGAACGAAACAAAATTTCTGAGAAAATGAGAAAAAACAGGCTTGGAGAATTTAACACTTCCTTGACATAGTAAAAGCAAGAGAAACCAGGGAGGGAACACAGCTTAATGACTTGAGTTTGTGCAAATGGTAAAAAAAAAAATTACTTTCAGCAACAAAGCAGTTTTGGAGTGTCATGATCGCTCACATCTTGAAAGGAAAAAAAAAATGAAGATAGTCACTTATCTCTCATTGGCATCAGAAATCCCTGTAAAAGCCAGGAGGCTGCCTTCCAAGGCATATTGCATGTGAGACATAAGAGATAGGTGTTCATTAAAATAACCAAATATGACAAATATGCTTCCCATGAATTTTGATATTATTAATTGGAAGCTGATAGCTGAGCAATAGAACTACGATATTTGAAATGCGAGTTTTGCTTGTCAACTTGGAAAGGTAGGTATTTTAACATTTTTTTTTTTTAAACACGTATTCTTCTCTTTGTGTTGCTTAGTGAAGTTGATAATATATGTTAATTGTTTGTGGGCTATAATGAAGAGTTGTCAAGCAAATATAATGACCTGGGAAGTTAATTGGGGCATAAAGATATGCCTCAGCAGTCAACAAAAGTATGAATGCATTAGTGAATCAGGGCAGATTGAGAATTGTATTCAACTTAATGCAACTGTTGAAATTTCCTACATCATTGTAGGTATAATTATATAAATCACTTTTAAATAATACTGAACACTCTGCCGAGTACCAGTGTAGCACCTGTGTAATCTGACTTGGACAAGTGCAGCAACCATGCACTGTGCCAATGATCAGCATCAAATCTGTGCTCTTTTAATGAGGACCACTGTGGCATCCGGGCTCTCTGCCAAGGACCAGCATGGCATCCAACCACTCTGCCGAGGATCAACATGACATCCATGCTCTCTGCCGTGGACCAGTGTAGCACCAATGTAATTTGACTTGGACAAGTATAGTAACCATGCACTTTGCCAATGATCAGTGTCAAATCTGTGCTCTTTTATGAGGACCAGAGTGGCATCCATGCTCTCTGCCATGAGCCAGGGTGGCATCTGTGCCATGAGCCAGCGTGGCATCCATGCTCTCTACCATGAACCAGCGTGACATCCATTCCCTTTGCCAGGGACCAGCATGGCATCTTAGCAATCTACCAAGGGGCAGCGTTGCATCCGTGCACTCTACCGAAGACCAGCATTACACCCATGCACTCTGTCAAGGAGCAGCGTGACATCCGTGCATTAATCCTATGACCAGCATGTCCTATATATAGAATCAATGTAGTATCTGTGTACTTTGACTAAATTAATACTTGTTATTTCAATTTACACTAATGTTCAAAATGCTGGCTTAGTGGATATGTCACATGCCTGCAGAAATCCAAGTCCAATGTTCAAATCCAGACTGGATGTACTTGATAACTTTATATATCTGATTTTACTTTAAGCTGTGAAGAGAATAACAACTCTTTTGTGTATGTGTGGTTGTCCATCTTATAGAATTTGACTTAAACTTCAGACAATAAATTCTTTTCTGCTGATTTCTCAAAATATTTTCTCTTGCAGGTGATCAATGGTCTTATGTCACGTCCTGATTGGCGGAAGGCTCTGAAAATTCCTATTGGTTGCATTCCGCAGGTTCTGGAAATGCTCTCTGCTGTTCAATAAATTATTCTGCAGGGTAATAACCACTTTTTACTTTCTTCTGAAATTTATTTTTTTGTTGGAAAGATATTCTTTTTTTGAATCGGTTCATTTTTTGCCAATTTATTTATTTCTTTCATAATTTAAAGTGGAGTGATTGTATTGAATCAATTACGAGGTCCACTGCTACAAAAATTGGTTCACTGTATCGTGCCAGTCAATTCTTCTCGTCAGAATCCATCTTACACATTTATAAATCTACCATTCACCCATACATTGAATATTGGTGCCATATCTGGTCTGGTGCTCCTGCTATATATCTCGAGATTCTTGACAAAATTCAAAGAAGAATCTGTAATGTAATTGGTCCTGACCTGGCATCTTGACTTCAGTCACTTTCCCACTGCCCCATGACATTTTTTTCTATAAATATTTTCATGGCAATTCTTTTTAATGAGCCTTCCTCCTTGGTATCTTGACTGGATGAATTTAAGCATATTACTAGATTGGCAATTAGGTCACATCTTAAGTTATGCCGGTTATTTCCTGTTTTTTCTCTCTTGTGTTCATTATATCATTTGAGTGTCAAATTCTCTAGACCTTCTTTCCTCATTATGTGGAAACATTCAGTATTCATTGATTAACCTTCTGGATATTGTGCAATCTTGCATTTGTGTAAAGCTTTTACTTTCATTTCTCAGCTCCATGCTTAGATTTTGGAAGGCTTCTCTCACTAATCCATTGCGTGTTTAATGCATGTTTAAAACAATTCCCAGGTATTAAAACTTCTGCAGCTGCTTGAAATTTATATCTCCAATTGGTAACTTGCATTTTAGGCTTTTTCTCTTGTTGATGACCAAAACTTGTCTTCTTGAAGTTGATGTTTAGTCATTTTTTTCTTGTTTTATTTTACTATCCTGTGTTGGAGGTCCCATAGTTTTCTGTCCAAGTCAGCCATCAACACAGTATCATCTATGAATCTTATATTCTTAAAATTACACCCACCGATAATAAATCCTATTAGTCTCCAGTTCCCTTAGGATAGCCTCACTGTAGAGCTGTTACTGCCCTAGGGTTGCTGGCACTCCTTTTTTTTAAATTTTCACATTGAGAAAAACTGAAAATGTAGAATAATGAGTTTATTACAATATACAACTTAATACAAGCATTTTTTTCCTAGCCTTTAGATCTGCAAATCTTTTCATGGCACTTTCTACACCTATCTTCTTTACAAGATCATTTTCTATTGACAAAATAGCCAAAGAATTTAATCTGTCTTGAGTCTTGGACGACTGCATGTGTGTTTTTATAAGCTTTAGTTTTGGAAGATCCCAAATACAAGACATGCTGACCTGATGGCGCCCTCAGCCTTGAGTCAGCCTTGCTGTAGAGATTGAATGCATCTAGAAAGAAAACATTAGGAGAATTCTTCAGAATTGTTCTTTGAGTCATTTGGTTGAGAATTTTTTCCTTTTCTGATTCGCCATGTCAGCTTGATGTTTTGTTTCTATTTGCTTTTGAAATTAATTTTTGTCTCTTTACAGGGAACCAATCTTAAACAATGATGTACTGCATTCAACATTTGTCCTGATCAAACACCAAGTTCTGCCACTCGACTTGGTTGCCATTCAGATGCAAAACAAATGCATGTATTCCTTCCTTTCTGTCACTTGGGGAATCATTGCAGACGTTGACTACGAGAGTGAAAAATACCGTCGTAGCCTTGGCTCCAAACGCTTCTTGGTACTTTTCGCACAACGAATCTTTGGTAAGTTGACATTTTTTTTTTTTTTTTTGAGCTATGGTTCTATACATGTGAGATGCCAGAAATGTTAAAATTGAAAACTTTGAAATTTAGCATTCCTACACCATCAGCGTTTCCTCTCAGTGCCTGATTATAACCAACATTTATGTTAATATCCCCACTCCCTATACTTCATAATATAATTCTGCTTGTTCCTTGATTCCTTAGTTAACACAATCACTACACACTGCCAATACATCATAAATAATGAACTATTCCATTTTGATCATGGAAAACGACATACCAATGAGGCTTTTTGGTTTCAGTGTAGGAAAGAAGTGACAATAACACTGTTTTTAACATCTGAAACGAAAAAAACTTGTCAATTTTTAATCTTTTCATTTCTGCCTTTTTACTTCTTTAAATAATGACCTGCAGTCATGATAATTATTGTAATATTTTGTTAAAGTTGTTAAGCTCAAGTATTTAACAATACAATTGGAGAATTTCCACAATTATAACAAATAATTGAGCACTCTCTTAATTTAGCCATTACTTTTTGCCAGACACTGAATTTGCAAAAGTGTGTGTGTGTGTATATATATATATATATATATATATATATATATATATATAGAGAGAGAGAGAGAGAGTCATCCAAATACAAGCCTGTTTCGCTGTATTGCAGCTCATCAGTGTGGCTAGACATCCGATTGCTTCAAGTTGGCATCATTCAGAGATTTTAACCCTAAGCTATTGGCGCATGACAGAGAAAGGGAAATTTAACATATTATATAGGAATCTGTGCAAATGCCAGCAGCGAGAGTGCTCAATTCATTATTGAAGAGTCATTCATTAATAGCAAGAGAGGCTACTGTTTTGAAATTACCTTTTTCTCCATAGTGCTCGATCAAATAATGAGAGCATAACATATATAAACTTATATATATATATTAAGGTCATCATAACCAGAAGAAAGCTATGTCAACCTGCTTCATTGTCCTGCCAACAATACCTGTGTTGTTTGCAACGATTGATCCATTTATTTATTTATTTTCTACGGCTTATCAACCATTTGCAGGTTATTTAAAGCCAGAAAATATTTTTCAATTGTAAGAATTTTTTTTTTTTTTTTTTTTTTTTGAAATAATAATGATTTAGTGATACAAGTCTTACTAATTAACCCATATCTGGGGGAGAAGAGGTAGTTTCATACCTTTCCCAAGGGTATATGCATGTAAGTGAATATAACAAGCCCAACAGGAATTGAAACTCGGCTCTCCTGGTTAAAAATTCTGACCCATTATCCATTACATCACCCACACATCCAAGCATACAGTACCTAGTATTCCCAGTCACCCATCTAGGTACTGACTAGGCTCAACATTGCTTAACTTCGGTGATCATATTGAAACCAGTGTCTCAACATGATGTGGCTATATGCACCTGTGCTTTGATAAGCATTAATTTGATGCTGGTTGAGTTCAAACTCAAATGATATAAATAATAAAATAGATATGAATTGATTCTTTTAACAATGAAAACTAAATAAAACTAACTAAACAAACATTTTATATTTTGATTCTAAAATAACTATTTACTGGTTAAAATTAATTACCTTGTGGTAATGTTAATGGTGAAATTAACTGTTTCCATAAAAGAAACATTCAGCATTCGTTGATCAAACATTTAGCATTAATGTCAATTGCAATTTTTATAAAATCCTTTTCTTAACACATTGACTGCCAAACACGAGATAACTCATGATTAGCAGTTTTTATTATCATGCCAACTACCAATTATCTGGTGCCTGGCATTTTCTGATATGTTTTCATCTGCGGACATCAACAAATTGATTTGCAGTGATACTTTTAGTGTGAAAATAATGTTATAACTTCAATTTACTCCTGTCTCGATAGTAAATCTGATCAGTTTGATAATGTCAAAATGGCATCTGATATCGAAAATGACCTCCAGTCTGTTGTTAACTGGAGCAAAAGATGGATTGTTAATTTTAACACTTTCAAAACTAAACTTAAACATCTGAGAGACCACTCACCGCCTTCCATCAGCATGGCTGATGCTAACCTCCAGAAAAGGGACTCCTTGCACCTTCTTGGGCTAACATTCTCAGTTGACATGAAGTGGAAAGACTATATTGAATCCATTGCTAGGTCTGCTCCTAAGAAAGTTAGTTCACCACATCGTGCAAAACAATTTTTCTCTTCATAATCTATCATACATATCTGTAAGTTTTACTATTTGTCCATACTGAGAATATTGCTGCCACATATGGTCCGGTGCCTCTGCTATTTACCTTGAGCTCCTTGATAAAATCCAAAGAAGAATCAGCAATATTATCGGTCTTGACATGAAGGATCAGCTTTAGTCACTTTCCCACTGCCATAAGGTTACTCCCTTGTGCCTTTTCTATAAATACTTTCATGGTAATTGTTTGGATGAGATCTTTGCTATGGTTTAAGCGCAGTAATAGACTGACATTGAGATCTCATCAATTTACAGTTAAGTTTGTTGGCTAGATGTGACCGTAAATTCTAAGCTGTTTCTTTTCACGCACTTCTCGCTTGTGTAACTCCCAGCTCTATGCATTCCAGCTAACTTTAATCTACTAAAATTTAAAATGCAATGTCAATTGCTATCTACTGTCCTCCTCCTGATTACATTTTTTTCTCTTCCCGCTCATTATTAATGTTTCTGTTCCTAATTCTTCCACACCCTGTAACCCCTTGTGTCTTAGTGGCTTTACCACCTTGCTTGGGGTGAAATCAATTAAAAAAAAAATTGAACTGAAAAATCAACTCATAACATTTTTTTATTGCCTAAGTTGGCTATTATAATTATTTCATGTCAGATTTTGTAATTGACCTCTGGAGGTCAGTGTGTGAAAACAGTTTTTCAAGAGACTAGATTTCTCAAGTCCACTTAATGTTATAGTTCTTTCTAATATTGATGATAATTTCCTTCAAAACCTCTAGATGTTGGCAGTGTGAAAGGCACCATTTTTGTTATTTATATAAGACTTATTCTTTTGGTTTTACAATTATTTACTGTAATATAGTAATAACTCTAAGTAGATGCTTATGAAACTTTATCTGACTCATTCTGCTTTAGGGATGGAAAACGTTTATTTTATTGTGATGGATGGTCACAAGCAAGAGGGGAGATGGAATGTGCTTAATTTATTGCCACATTTACTCTAAACAGAATGGCAGTGAATGCTGGTAATCTCAAAGATGAAGACTTGAAGAAAAAGAAATGTGGTTCTACAGAAGGATGCTAAGGATACCGTGGGCCGAAAATGTGAGCAATGACAAGATTTTGGAGAGAATGGGAACAAAGAGGAAACTTATACTTGACATCGGGAAGAGGCAGCTGAAATTTCTGGTGCACATAATGCAGGTGGGATTGGAAAATTTGATACTCACAAGGCAAATAGGACAGGGGAAAGCAATGCGGGACATACTTAATGGGCTTGAGCAAGTGGATGGCAGAACAAAATCTGGGAGAAATAGCAAAAAGACAAAACTCATTAAGAGCTACAAGAGACAGGAGAAGGTGGAGGACCATGATCACCTACATCCTGAAGGGACACGGCATATAAAAGAAGATGACTCTGACCTGTAAATAAGTGTCTATTTTATGAACCCAATTATAATGTTTTTTCTCGTTTTTATTTTCCTCTTTCTCTTTCTGTATAAGCACCAGGCATTTTGACCTTATCTACCAACTGCAGAGGTTAACCTGAATCATCTTTTGAAGTTCTCAAAACATTCCATCACTCTGGTTGTAATTTAATCGCATTAATGGTGACCTTGGAAATTTGTAACCTAAAACAATTCCAAAATGGCTGAAGTTTCGTTTTGTAACAAATTTTAACATTTTTTTTCCATTTGTTATCCACCAAACAAAGAAATGAAAAATTGATCATCCCACAAATGGCAACGTAAAATTTGTTTTTGGTGAGAGCTTCCTCAAATTTAATTTCAAATTTGTATTTGACAATATTGAAATAAGTTGCCATTGTAATTATCTTTTTAAGCTTAGTAAAAAATAATGAAGGCAGACCCACAACTAAAGCAAGTATAATTATATCTTTTAGCCACTTGGTCTGTTTTTGGCACACAAACACACATTACCACACACACATACACACAGTTTACCAAAAAAATGTATACACCACACTTCGGGAAAGAAAACAAACTTGTATAGATATTGTAATACTAAATTTATTCAGACACCACAAGATTAATACAAGTGTTACCTTTGAACTCTACAATCCCAAGCGATGCTCAAAATGGTGGGCTTTAGCTTCCAGACATTTATTATGGGCAAACTACTTCTTGGGCAATGTTGGACAAAGTGTCCAGTGGGATTGCTTCATATGCATTTTCAATTTCTTATCTAAGGGCCACCAATGTAATGCCATCTCTTGAGAAAATATCATACTATAGTAAACAGTGTTATCACAGTTTGATAAAACTACAAAAGACAAGTTTTTTCTTTCCTGAACTCTGTGTATATATATATATATATATATATATATATATATATATATATATAATATGGACTTTTGACCTTGACCACAATCAATTTAAGATGCTTGTAGAAATATACATCCATTCATTAAAACTCTGTCTCCAAACATTTTTTTATATACAATGATGTTCACTCTGTACAAGACCCAAGAGCCACTTAAGGTAGCACAGTTTATGGGGGTATGTGAGTAAGACAACAGTTAATCCTAGACTTGAATAAGTTAATATTGTAGTGGTTGAGGAAGCATCCTCTTGGGAGTTTACAAAGTGCCACAAAGCAGTGGTTTGTGGGAAAAAGCTACTTGAGTGGAACTTATGTCTCACCAATGGAATACAAAGGGAAGGAGAGTCATTTGTTACAATATGTGTGACATGGTAGGTCTTAGCCATGAAGGTGCAACTAAAGAATATAGTTTGTATGAACACTTTCTATAGAAATTGTAGCAAAGGAGCCAAATTCAAGAGTGTAAGGGACGCAACTCTTTCCATCGGAAAATGTCTGACATGATGCAATGCAAAGCAATGTACACCGAACACGGGTGTAATGCCCTTCTGCCAATTTCTCCAAGCGACCTGCTTTTATGGAGCCCAGACACACCTCATTAGCATGCGTGTAACGCGACTTTGCGTGACTGCACGAGACCATGAATATTAAAAAGTCACGGACGCCATCTTGGACCCTTTCTTTCTTTTCTCAACCCACAGGCCAGACAGACGCGAGGGCGTTTGGGAGGTAAGCCATTTCTATTTTCCCCACAGAAATAGTGATAGAACATCAAGAGGCTTGCAACATTTCATCTGTTAGAAAGGGGGTTAGAGAATGGAAATTAATTCATCAACCACAAGGAAAAGGAGACTCTTTTGGAATCTCTGGTGGCTGGGAATTGAAGACTATGCAGCTCCTGCCCATATATGGCAACAGTACTCCATTATGCCCCTGATCTGACTCTTGTAAAGATAGAGGAAGGCTTGAAGGAGTCAGGTACTTACTGGAGCAGTACAAGAAACTGATAATTTTTCCAATATTTTTATTGCTGGGTTGAGGTCTAGAGTGAGCTGAGAGAACACCATTCATCACAGTAGATGAAAATTCAAGGTCCACTTGGTGATAATGGAATGTCACTAGTTTGGTAAACAATAATGAACTTAAAGATGAGGAAATTAAGAAAGCGATTAAAAAATTAAAATACTAAGGATGACTTGACATTGAGGCTAGACTTTTGAAAATGACAAGTTTCTCTATGAAAGAAGTCTGAAATCAGATATACATCCCCCAAAAAGTGGGGTTTATCACACATTAATGTAATATAAAACCAACAAGGTAGCCCTCAAGACCCTCACACATACAGAGGTATCTCAATTGGATCCATCATGGTGAAAGGATTTATGAACATCATATTAACTAGGCTCTCCTTGTTTTATGAAAGTCAACTCTTCAGGACACAGTTTAGCTTTCATTCTGGTAAATAATCCAATGATGGTATATATGTAATCAAACAACTCCAAGAAATTACTTACCTTTCTGTTATAACCTAGGAAGGGTTACTGAAAGAGGAATAACCAAAACAGACGTTGGAAATGAAATTGTAATCTTTATAATGTCAACAAAATACAATACTTGCCAGCAGCATGAAGTAGGTAAACCACTGCTAGTGGTGGACTACTTAGACAGCATATTATCCCCACTTACAATAGTGTCCAACGTATTTATGAGGATTAAGACATACCCATTAGTGTTCATAGGTACCATATATAACAATATCCTTTCCTCAAACTCACCTCTACTCTTGCTCTCACTCCCAGTAACCTCTTGTGTACTAGTTGCACTCCCACCTTGCTTGGGATGAAATGCTTAAAACATATATGTAATCAAACAACTCC